GCAGGGTAGGGCCCTCAACTGGGGCTCTGCAAAGTCCACCAAGTCTTCCTATGCTGGTCCTGGGCCCTTCCCCATGTGTCCAGGACCAGAGTGTAACCCTTCACGTAGGATGGGCTCTCAAAGTCCCTTCTTGCACCAGGGAAAAATACTAATCCACCACCAGAGGCTCCCTGGAGTGCAGAGGCCTCCTTATTGACATCCATGTTCAGGGGTCTGGATCAGTCTTGTACTGGCCTCCCGGACAACAACTAGGGTCGATGTGCTCTCCCTTGTTCAGGTCAACTGTTCCTGTGGGTTTCTCCAGCCTGGTACAGACCCCATCGTTCTTCATTCCTCCCTCTCTTCAACTAAATTCCCGATTTCGGCTCAGTGTATATCTGTAAAGTCAGGGAAGTGATGTCCCTTTTCTGTGTTAGAAATATCACTCTGGAATCTACTGCAGAGAATAAATGTTACTTTGGCATACAAGTTGATAAGAGAGAACATACACTAATACAATTAATGTCATCCTGGGACTCTAGGAAAAAGATATGCACTCAGGATTAATTGGACCCATACTGATTTGCCATGAGAACACACTGAATCCTGCTCATGGGAGACAAGTGGCAGTACAGGAATTTGCTCTGTTTTTCACTATCTTTGATGAGACCAAGAGCTGGTACTTCACTGAAAATGTAGAAAGGAACTGCAAGACACCATGCAATATCCAGATGGAAGACCCCACTTTGAAAGAGAATTATCGCTTTCATGGTAACATAATCGACACATAAATATTACTCATTGTGAAATGTAGTGTGTATTATTTCATATGAGTTTTGAGCCAGAGATTTGAACAGTAATGAGAAGTTAAATCCTGATGGGTATTAGGATTTTCTGTGTAGAAAAAGGAAGCAAAATTTAGTGATATAGTTTAATAATTTTCTCTATGTTCTTTTCCAGCAATCAATGGTTATGTGATGGATACCCTACCAGGCTTAGTAATGGCTCAAGATCAAAGAATTCGATGGTATCTTCTCAGCATGGGTAGCAATGAGAACATCCAATCTATTCATTTCAGTGGACATGTGTTCACTGTACGGAAAAAAGAGGAGTACAAAATGGCAGTGTACAACCTCTATCCAGGTGTGAGATAGTTTGTTCATTTTTTTCTACCTGCTCTCTGTATTGAATACTTACTCTAAATGGTTTCAGTACTGGTAATATAAACAATAACACAGGAGAGAATCTCCTTTCTAAAATGCCTTGCTTTTTCAAGTAATTTTATCCTATACAGAGAAATAAATTAGCAAATGAACAAGATAATTTTAGGGGCATAAAACTACTAGAAATGAATAATTAGTACCATGTAGTACTTTCCTAAGAATCCTTTATCATTTCCCCTCAAATCCCACATGACACCAGTACTTATCAAGGCTTATTTGTTTATATATGTAACCAATATATTGGTGAAGCACTAATGAAAGTGTTGATCAAAACACAATTTTATTTTTAAACAGTGTGTGTGTGTGTGTGTGTGTGTGTGTGTGTGTGTGTGTGTGTGTGTATGTATGTACATATAAGTGCCTGGTGCCCATGAAGACCAGAAGAGGTCATCAGAACTCCTAGAACTGTAATTGTAGGTAGTTGTGAACCACCTGACATAGGAAGTTGATACCAAACTCAAGTCCCATGCAAGGCCACTAGCACTCTTAACTGCTGAGCTACCTGTCCAGCTTCTCCCCTCCTTCCAGCTTCTTGCAACTTGAAGTCCCTTTACCTAGTGCTGTGGATCCAAGATGATCTTACTGTGGTTTTTCTTCCCCTTTCAGGTTACATCTGGTCACTAGTAAAGACACCTATAGGACTTTTCATAGCAAAAATGTACATGAAAAGTCTTTTGTGCTTGAGATATCTGAGAATGATGGAACTGAATTTCATAACTCTTGTGATGATACATATTGTAAATAAGTGTTGTTTGTGTTTTATTACTCTTTGGCTCTTTGAGATCTTTTGGGGGGCCCTGCCACACAGCTCCCAAATAAGTCAAACACAGAGTCATATTCTTTCTTATAAATACCTGGCCTTAGGTTGCCTTGTTTCTAGCCAGCTTTTCTTAAATTAACCTGGCTACCTTTTGCCTCTGGGCTTTTACACTTCTCTTAGTTCTGTAAATCTTACTTTCACTCTTACTCTTTGTCTGGATGGGTGGCTGGCCCCTGATATCCTCCTCTCCTTGTTCTATCTTGCTCCTTCTCTTCCCAGATTTCTCTTCCTATTTATTCTCTCTGCCTGCCTGCCCCGCCTATTTCTCTCTCCTGCCTTGCTATTGGACATTCAGCTCTTTATTAGACCAATCGGGTGTTTTAGACAGGCAAAGTAACATAGCTTCACAGAGTTAAACAAATGCAGCCTAAACAAAAGCAATGTATCTTTGCATCATTAAAACAAATGTTCCACAGGATAAGCAATTGTAACACACCTTAAAATAATATTCCACAACAAATAAGCCAATGTATTTCATACCCATTTTTAATGAAAAATAATTTTGTTTCATTTGATTTTAAAAGGAGTTTTTGAGACAGTGGAAATGCTACCATCCAGAGCTGGAATTTGGCGAGTAGAATGCCTTATTGGCAAGCACTTACAGTCTGGAATTTTCACTCTTTTTCTGGTGTACAGCAAGCGTGAGTAACTCTGGGTAGAAGCTCACTAACTATTCAGTCTATTTCTGTAGAACTTTCCTCCTGCTCAAGTGGTGCCTTGGTCAAGAAATAAATGCAGCCTTGCATTATTATTAAAGTTAAATTAAGTATTGCTGGTAGAAACCATCAGTCTTCAGAAGAGATAGAAGCTTTTGACCCTTTGAATATGAATCTGTGGTACTTAACAAACTTGTGCTTAAACAATCTTCAATTTCACAGTAGTAAATTCTGGGACTTAATTTTGATTCAATTACCAAAGATAACTTAAAAACTTCACATGGAAGAGTTTGGAGATATAACTTTAAACAAGAGAACCACCACTCACCTAAAAACATTATAATTAATCCTTGTTTTCATGGGTTCTGTGTCATTCCTGGCTTCTGTATTTAATTTCAGAGTGCCAGATTCCTCTGGGAATGGCTTCTGGAAGCATCAAAGATTTTCAGATTACAGCTTCAGGACACTATGGTAAATACTATTAATTTTGCTATAAGAATCTGAGCTATTTTTTTATTTCTATTGGAGAGTTTGAAATAACCTGTAACACAAATTCTAATTGATCTTAATAATAAAAACCCAGAATCAGATATAGGGGTTAATGCTGAAATATCAGAGAAGCAAAGTGGCCAGCCACTAGAGAGTTGTTACCTCTACCGATGCTCAGACCAAAGGGATGATCCTGTCTTCAGACTGCCTCCTCAGACTGACTGCCTAGATTGCATCTGTCTCTATGAAACTTCACACTGCCTCTCTCTCTTGTCTTCTCCTGCTTTATATTCCTCTCTCTACCCAACCATATCACTCCTGTCTCCACCTTACTAGTGTTATGATTAAAGGCATGTGATCCCAAGTGCTGGGATCACCTTTGCGTGAGCTCTGTTTTTCCTTTAGACACATTCATCTCATGTAGCCCAGAATGGCCTTGAACTAACAGAGATCCATCTGCCTCTGTCTCCTGAGTGCTGGGATTAAACGCATGCATCACCACCACCACCTGTCCTCTATGACTAACTAGTATGGCTACTGAGATTAAAGGTGTGTGCAACCATTGCCTGGCCTCTATGGCTAACTAGTGTGGCTAGCTTTGTACTCTGATCTTCAGGCAAGTTTTATTTGTTAGGTCATAAACAAAATATCACCACAATAACCAATCTACTGCCTTCCATGATTTTCTCTCTCTTTTTACATAGATATAGATATAGATAGACATAGACATAGATATAGATATAGATATAGATGTATATGGATGTTTTGCCTTCATATACATCTGTGCATCACTGGCATGTCTGGTGCTTGCAGACGCCAGAAGATGGCATAGAATACCCTGGAGCTGGAGTTACAGGTGGTTGTGAGTTTCCTTGTGGGTGCTGGGAACTGAACCTGGGTCATCTGGAAGAGCAACAATTGCTCTTAACTGCTGAGCTATCTCTTCGGCCCTCTCCATGTTTTTCTTAATTCTGCTCAGTATATTCCTCTCAAGTCTGTATCCTTCTTTCCATTTTCCACTGTGACCATATTAATTCAGGCCACTTTCATTTCTTACCTGGACAATGGCACTAACTCCTGAAAAAAGCTCCCTACTTTAGTACTGTTCATGTGAGTTCATTCTACTGAGCATAGTAAGAAGCTACACTCTCTTTGGAACAGTGCTAGTAAAGCTTGAATAGAGGCTATAGAAAATTCTCACATGTTATTCTAGAATGAACATTTACAGATCCTTGTATATAGGCCCATTACCTATTTTCATATGTGAGTTAAGAATAATTTTCCATTTTTAGTGTATATTACATATTCAGAAGTATGGATTTCATTGTGACATTTTTGTTTTCCTATTTGAATATATTGTACTTTGATTGTACTCACAGTCTTCTATTACACTCTTATACTCCTATTCCCACTATTCTAGTCTGCTTCCTCTTCCAAAATAGTTAATTTATTCATTGAAAAAATTTATTATACTGTCAGGCAGTGGTTGCACACACCTTTAATCCCAACACTCGGGAGGAAGAGGCAGGTGGATCTCTGTGAGTT